ATATGAAATAATTATAGACTCTTAATGACTCATTACAATATAATTTTTATCAGAGCACAAATTTCATATTTTCATCAAATATTATTTAAAAAATAAATTTGAATTTAATAAAAAAAATCTATAATCACAAAATGATTGATTCAAACCAATATAATAAAATAAATTATACGTATAGTTTATCCACCATGAATTGAGGAAATCAAAGAGACGACATCCCCGTCACTCACCTCGGCCTCGGATAACCCCACCAATTCCCAGTCGGCATCGTTGATCAACACAATGATCCCTGGAATTCTGTAATGTGAGCAATACAATTAACTATTCAGTAATAATAAAAATACCTATATTAAAATTAATATAATAAAAAAATAAAATAGGAATTCTTATTAATTGATAATTAAATAAAATACTAAAATGCATTAATCTATTATTATACAATATGATATTAATACTTAATAGTTAAATACAAACACAGTAGAGTCTTGGAAAATTGCACCAAGTTTTGGGTACGTTTTTTGTATCAACAGAAAGACGTCTTTGATCGTATGAATTCCTTCAGACGGAAATTCAGTCTTATTTGTTCCTGCCTCATATTCCAACCCACCACTTAACTCAAGTTGTATCATTTTCACTTAATCAGTTGTAAATAGAAAAAACCCTATTAATATATATATACGTGTTATTAAAAAAAACTCAATAACTACCAAAAATTCAATCTTCTTTTTTAACTTCCTCGTTTGTTTTGCCATTTTTATTTAATTTAAAATAGAAATAACTGTTTTTTTAATGATGTTGGGCATTGTTATCTTTTTATTACCACTTCTTTTTTATGTTTTTTAATTCGAAAAAAACGATAGTAAGAAATGTATACAGTATGACAAGTTTGACTTAAACGACAAGTTTGGGTTAAATGGTAAAAATTATAGTTCAATTATAATATTTTTTGAACTATAACCTGAACTAATTAATTGCTTTTTTATTATCAAGTTTATATAAAAAATTGAATAATTAAAAGCAAGCCAAAAACCCAAACACACGACATAAAGAATAAGAAAGCAATGAAAAAAGTAAAGATAATTATAAACTATCACACGATCATGATCATCACCAACATTTTAATGTAATCACAAACAATAAAGTTTTATCAAAATTTGTCAAATAAAGTTACCATAACAGTTCAAATTCAATTATAAATACAGTCTAATTTCCCTAGAGTGTGTAATTATTATTTTTGTTGTTCTCTATTATTTGAGCATTTCTTAAGAACAAACCCAAATAAGATAGACATGCTCTTTAAAGAGTTGGTCCACTTTTTATTGGCCAAAATCAAGCGATGATTCTTAATAAATCACACTCTTGGGAGGTTTGCCGGTATTTCCTTTCGTTGAATTCGTTTTTATGGATATTATTATTTGGTTAAGTTAAAAGCGGTATTCTTCCATCGCGATAGGAGATACTGCTGATTTATCATATTAAAATAAATATAAAGTAATACAAACGTTTCCGAATGAGGCGGCACATGTTTTGGCGCGTTTGAACTCAACGAGACAAACACATTGAAATATACAAAACAATACTTAACATGTGTTTTGGTTTTATTTTTCAAGATCAGAGTGTAACATAAAACTATAGAATTAATAATAATTTAAATATTATTCTATTTAACCATTATATTTTTTTCTAGTTTAACCCACTGTTTACTATAATAATTGGTTTTTAAACCATTAATGTGAACCATTTAAGTCAAACTATTCCATTTAAGGCAAACTTGTCTAACTGTAACATATACTAAAAAAATGTTCTTATAGTTCCAAAATTATGTTTTTTCATTTCTAGTAAATCATTAATTTATTATACCTGTTAACATTTATTATTTATTAATTAATTTACATATTATATTTAATTAATTATTATATTATTATAAAAAATAAAATAAATAACTTAAATAATTAAAGTAATTAATGACAAATCCAAACAATTTTTTTTCTTGATAATTTTTTTACTTTACTAACTATAAAACTATAATATATATAATGTTTTTTAATATTTAAAGCGATAAAAAAAAGAAATACAATGCTTCCAAATTAGTGTTTTAAAATAATATATATTTAATGAAAATAATAATTATAGTATAGTAATGAAAATCAATTTCCGTCTTAATTTCGACTTCCAACTTCTTTCTTTCCTCATCCGCCTTTGTCATAAGAACTAAAAAATCTTTTGAAGCGCCTGATGAATATTGATCAATTTCCACCAACGGTGAAGACTTGGGTCAAGGTCTCTCAATCTTTTGAAAAGACAGACTCCATAATATCGTTTCATTGTATTGTGAAAGCTAAAGCAATAATAGACCAAACTATTAAATCGGACGAAGAGAAACAGAACTATTTAAATGTCTTAGATGTTTTTCAGAAAAAAGCCGAAGCAACGCCACAATTTATTGCTTTTAAAGAAACTGAAAAAAGCCCTGCCGAATATTTATATAAAAAAGCTGTAGCTCTTCTCCAATCCACAGATAAAACATTAAAACAAACGGGACCATCTCCCGATCTTTCAAAAATGTTTTTGGTCGTTTCATGCCTCTTGGAATTATACGAATTGTTTTTCCCCCTCAACGAAACGTCAAAGAAAATGCAACTCTACGCTAAAGTCAAGGCAGCCGAATGCGCCAAAACTCAACAAACCCCACAAACAGCTCAACTCGCACAAGCCGTTCCAAATTTAGAGACAACTACTCAGATTGTCGAAAACGAAAAGAAAAACCCAATTCACTACATCACTGAGGAAAAACCTATCGACAAACCAGTCGCTGAACAAACCGAAGAAAAATTCCCTTCCCAATTCGTCCAACCAATCAAAACTGTTCAAACACAACAAAAAGTGCCCGAACCCGTCACACTGCCCCGGGTCCAGGAAAACACACCAGAACAAGACATCAGTAAGCTGTCTTTGTTCGAGAAACAAACACTCGCAGAAAAGTACGTACAATCCGCGTTGTCATCGCTTGACTTCCAGGACGCTACTACTGCCGTGAAGTATATGCGAGCTGCTCTTGAAATGCTTGCTTAACATTTTCCATTTTATGGTTTATTTTACTATAATTTTATAATATCCTATTATTATTTATTAACAAACTATAAAGAACCATTTTCATGTTTTAAAAGAGTTTAATGTTAAATTTTAATTTATTATAAGTTGTTTTATTATAATTATCTATCATAATTGAGTTTATTGTTTTAGCACTAAAAGGTATAAGACATCTAATATTTTACTTTGTTCTTGTTAAATTTTTCATGTTTTTTTTTGATCAAATAAAAATGGTTTTAATATAATCAACATTAATGGAAAGACTTGTCAGAAACAATTCATAAAAAATGATCAAAAATTTCGTTTAGGCTATTAGTTTAATCTTGTTTTCTGAAGTTCTTGATGCTTTTTTTGTAAAATAATTCTCAAAGAAAAAAAAAGAGTGCCAATTTTCTGTGCACATTTTTGTTACAAATAATAGCCCAAAAACAAATAAAAATTGTTGTGTTACAAAATATATTGTATTATTAGTAATAGTAAAATAGTTTTATTATAATACAACAATATAATATTAATTATAAAACGAATAAACCAATGAAACAAAAAGAAGACAATAAGTTGGTTTTGTAAATGTTTTAGTAACGGTTTTGGCTATTTATGGTTATTAATCATTTGGGAATTATTTTTGTTTTTTTTGATAAAAAGTTAATGAAATAATTTACACTGTTTTGAAAATTATAATATTATAGTAAAATTATTTCTTATTATTAATTCTAATGTAATTTTTATAATTAAATCATATTAAATTATAAAAAAAATAATTAAATTTATTAAAAAATAGTATAATGAATGACTATTATTTTTCATACCCTTTACCCTATATATAGGGGTTTCTTAGTTATATTCTGGTTAATTTTGTTACAGAATCTTAATTTACAATACTTGAATTATCAAGAACTATATGGCATAGTTAAGTCAATATAATTCAATATATTATAATTAATAATTTTAATAATAAAAGAGAATACACAACTTTTGGTCGACAGTTGACTTGCATTTGTATTATTATCGCTACATCATTATAAATTATAAAAATATATATATTAATATTACAATTAAACTATGAACAACAATAAATAAATTATAAAAACCAAATTTGTTCAACTTATCCCATAACAGCGTTTCAACCATTTTTAAGGTACTTAAACTGTTAATGTTTATGAAAAAAAAGACGCAAAATCCAAACAATTTTAAAAAGAAGTAAAAAAACACCCCAAAAGTGTTTGCATTTTCAAAAAATTCCACAAGCGCTTCATTTCCGACTTTTTTCAAATACCAACTCTTTTTTTAATAAAAAATTTCCACCTCTTAAAATTCAAATGTTTTTTGTGTTACTGATCACCACATTCTTCCTAATTGTGAAGAGCTGCAACTTTGAAATGGATGTATATGGGTGTTTGACAGTTACAAAACCTGATTTATGTGTTGGGGAAGTAATTATCCCGAGCAGCTACTCATGTGTATCTGAATATGCATTTTTGAATCAAAACCTTCTTGAAAAAATCACATTTGAAACGACAAGTGCAGTTGTTTTAAAAAAGAACGCATTTTTGAATTGTACGTCACTTACAGACGTTCTTTTTAAAAACGATAAAATGCTCACCCTCTACGCAAATTGTTTTGAAAATTGCACTTCATTGGTCCACATTTCAGGGTTTTCAAAATATGGAGCGTATGGCGAACGGATCTTCAAAAATTGTGGATTTGTCGAATTCGACTTACATGGACTCGTGATCCTTCCTCTTGGGTTTCTCGAGCAGAATATTCATCTTGAGAAGTTGGTCAATGGAAACAGTGTAGTGACTTATGGCATCAAGTCTCTTTATAATTGTGAGAACTTGAAAACACTCCCCTTGTCTTCTTCGAATCAATACAACTTTGGCGACTCTGCATTTGAAGGGTGTACAAGTTTAACTGCTTTTCCAGCTGTCAAAAGTTTTGATATGGGTCTTCGAGTATTTGCGTACACTGGACTCACTGAATTTGATGTCATGGGAAAGAGCCAAATACCCGCTGGTACATTTTGTGGGTGCGTCAATTTACAAGCAGTGACAAACACTGAAAGTGTCACAACAATAGGCGACAATGCGTTTGAAGGTACTCAAATAGTGTCTCTTGAAGTCTCTTCAAATTTGCTTGATATTGGAAATGCGTCATTTAAAGACTGTGCTAAATTTAAAGGCTTTTCCAACGAAGTCAAAGTCTCAAACATAGGAGAATCCGCCTTCGAGAATTGCAAAGTCTTAGAACAATTTGACATCAATGGACTCGAGTCGATCTACAAAAACACATTCAAAAATTGTGTCTCATTAAAGAAGTTGTTAAACACCGACAACGCGAATTTGGTCGGTGAAAGTGCCTTTGAAAATTGCGTTCAACTGACACAAATAATTCTTTATACGGATAATGGTCGTAATCCAAATAAAATAGCATCAATGGAAATCGACACGGAAACTGCTTTTTCAAAAAAAGTTGTGAAACTCAGCCAAAGGTCATTTTTTGGATGTGAAAATTTGGAGACAATTACCGCAAATTTGTTCGTAACTTTTGCGCCAGAGGCGTTTTCGGGATGTTCAAAATTGCGAAGTGTGACGATTGAAAGCAGTTTTATATTGCCAGTCTCTTTGTTTGAAAATTGCACGTCATTAGAGTCTATTACAAACTCCGAAAAAGTTCGTGTTATCGGCGAAAAGTGTTTTTGTGGGTGTGAGGCACTTGTGTTACACAAATTACCAAAACTCAAAACCATTGGGAGGTTTGCATTTGAACGAACGACAAAGATGAGTGACGTTTCGTTATACAATTCACTTCAAGTAGTTGGACAAGAACCATTCAAAGATAGCGGACTCAAAACCATCTATTTTCATGGAAATAATGACGTTATATTTAGTGGTTTTCCATTGCAAAATATTTCTATTTATGTTAAAGAGGGTTACGTGTCAGAGACTTTTTGTGGCGAATTTGTGAAGAAGTTGAAGTGTTTAACGAGTGAATATATTAACATGGGGAAGTGTGAAAAATGTGCAGATGGGTATAGGACAGAAGATGGAGTCTCTGGAATTTGTGATATGAAAAATGAATGTGATAACATTAGTATGTCTTGTGAAGAGTGTGACACAACGCGATGTATAAAATGTGCTGATGGGTATTACACTGCAGAAGGAAAGTGTGTTTTGTGTAATTTGGAGAACTGTTCGTCATGTTTATCTGATACAAAATGTGATGTCTGTGATTTGGGGTATTTCTCACAACTTGGTGTTTGTGTAAAATGTGAGGAAAACTGTGCAAGTTGTGAAAAGGATGAGTGTTTCTTGTGTGTAAAAGGTGCATTCTATTTGGTTGATGGGAAATGCGAAAATTGTTCTTTGCATTGTACAAAATGTGGGTCAGCAACGGAGTGTGAATCTTGTGAAGAAAATTATGAAACAGTGAATGGGTATTGCAAATTGATCGATAACAATTCACAGACTTCTGGTTCAAAGTTTGATTCTTCATGTAATAGTGAAAGTAATACTAAGAGTGATGGCGTTGTCGAACATAGTAGCACAAATCAAGTTGACTCTTCGTCTGGAAGTTATCATTCAGTTTTAGGTTATACAACGATATTTGCTTTTATTATATTGATCTTGTGTTAATGTTGTTTTATTTTTATTTCTTTTTTGTTATTGTAGTGTTTCTATCATTGATTTAAAGACATTATCGCAACAATGCGATAAAGCGTATTAAAAATAGTTTCAATGTTAAAAAGACACAAATTGAAACTAATGGAAGTTAACAACGATCTTATTTTTTTGATAACAAATAAATGACATTACCAAAAACCCAAAATAAGCATTTAAATTATTTACACAATGGAGTCAGTCATGTATAATTAACAATATTTAAAGTTATAAACTTGTTTTACTTTGAAACCAAGTTGATTTGCACAATAACAAACATGCAAAAAGCACAGAATTTACAATAATTTTTTGATATATGTACTTACTTATTTCTCAATATTGAATTTATTTTTGTGTACCCATTATTGTTATCTAAATATAAATTGTAAACGTTTTGAGGATAATCCCAAAATAAGTCTTATTTGTATATAAAATTAGAATGTTTCAAACAAACAAAAACTTCTTTTTCATATTCATGACTTTCGAATTGGGAGCAAAAAGTCTGTTTCATCAATATGACGTTGGTGACAAGGGGTATTTAACACGTTTTGAATTTGTAGAGGCAATAAGGTCATATTTAGAAGTATCAAATGAATACGATAGACTCTTTGAGATGGTATTTGTCTACATTGATTCTAAGGGATTCTTGAATAAAAAAGAGAACAAAATGACAAAGAAAGAATTTACCATTGTAATAAAAGCTCTTCCAGAGACCCAAGATTCAAAGACAGAACGTTTAGCTGAGATGATATTTGGTCTTTGTGGTGTTAAAAAAGAAGGCTATTTAAATAAATATAAATTTGCAGTCTTCATTCAATCTGCTTCCGAACGAATCAAATTGAATCCAAGAGCCCACAGACTGTATTTCTCAACAGCAGACAAGAAAGTGACCGGTAAAGTTCATCTAAAAGAATTTCATACATGGCTCTTCACTGTTTTTTTGAAAAAGTTGGAATGAATAATAAATGTTGTTTATATTTTGTTATTTGTTTGTTATTTCACATTTAAAAACATTTATTTTGTATTGCCAAAATATTATTTTTTCAAAGAAAACAGACAATTACAATTATAATATTGTGAATTATTAATTATAGTAATTTTAATAAAATATGAAATTTTAACTTTGTTTTTATTGTGGCAATTTTGATGTCAATACTTCATAATATTAATGTTAATGACTTTTTTAATTAATTAAGTAACATGTTTTTAAAACTGTACACAAACAAATTATAACAAAGAGTTTATTTATTATCATTTTAAAATAAGATGAATAAGATTGTCTGTTGAATAATGAAACTTAATGAAGTTTTGTTTTTTAAATAAAAAAAAAACATATTTCATTTTTTTAAATAGAAATAGAAAATATCGTAACTTTTTGAAATTTATATAATTCTATTAAATTAGTAAATTTTAATTAAATTCAACCAAAATCAGTTTTCAATCATATTTGAAAACTTCAAAAAAATGAATCATTAAGTATTAATAAAACATATTTTTTAATCACACAATGACTCACAATATAGTTAGTAATTTTTTTATAAAAAAATGATTTTGCATAATGAGCGTGTTGTTTTACATTGTGAATTGGCAAAAATATTTATTCAACTGTAAATATAACGACTTAATTATAATACTTCATAATACACGTTGTCAATGACGTACAATGGAGTATATAATTTATTTCTATCTTCATATTTTAATGTCTGGCTTTGATAGGAATAAATTCCAACAACGCAGTGAAATGTTCAACTTCAATAAAAGATACAGAACGCAATTCCAGGTCTTTGTGCATTCAATTAAATGGGTTTGTGAACATAACACATTCAGTGCTTATGTTAATAATTTACAAGTCTTGTTTTGGGGCAATACTCTTCCAGCGGAAAATCAGTGCATAGAAATTTATGAATTTGTTCTGAACATACATCAGGCACCGTATGCACTTGTGACAAGTTATAAAATTGCGAACCATGTCATTGAACAATACACCAACAACGTGTTTTTCAAAAGGTTTGTTTTGAATAAAGTTAACATATTAATCCCACTTAAGAGATGTTTAAAATTGTCTGAAAAAATGTTACCACTTCCAGACAAAACTTTATTTGGATTCTGTGATGGGAAGACAGAATACTTATGCAGTCCAAAAGACTATACACATCACTATGTTCTTAATTTTCAATCACAAAAAAGAACCTCCAAGTTGTATGTTAGAGCTGACGACTTTGAACGATTCAACTTCGAACTTAATAAATATTATCTTATTTCCGACGTTGGAGCGATAACCAATTACGAAGACACATTCTATTTGAATGAGACTTCATTTTTGATCAAATGCGATGCTGAAGAGATTGCAAATTCGTACTCGTCTTAACAAACAATGAATATTACAATAATTGATTTGTTGTTTCTTCTTATTCTGTTCGAATCAATGTTTTAAATTCATTTCTATTCCTAATTATTTAATATTATTAATTAAAAAAAATATTATTAATTAAAAATTATTAGTTTTTTAATTCTAAATAACTAAATTGTTTCTATGATTAAATTAATAATTAATTTGATTTAAAATGTTAATTGTTTTTTAATTATATTTTTTAAAAATTATTGGTAATTTTAATTAGAATTGTAATAATTTTAATGATTTATTACTCAAATTATAAAAATAATTTAAAACATTTAAAAACTTGAATAGTATTTCTTTTAATTATATAATTAAAAAAAATTAGTATTGTAAAACTAATAAAAAATGGATGAAAAAGCTTGACAGTTACCACGTCATGGTAGTTTCAAATTACTTTGCAACTATTCAGGACTTCATTTCTCTTGAATTTGTTTGTAAAAAGTTCAGTGGAACGTTACAAAAATTTCATTATAACCCCATTTCACTCACCACAAACACAATAAAGTACTTTCCTAACATTGAGACACTTCACATTTACAATCCAGACGATGAGAAGTTTGAAAACACCACGTTTTTCCAAAGAGTAATTTGGTATCCGGTGCCTTACTTTGTATTTTCTGAACATCCACAGAATGTGTCTTTCAAGAAGGTCAAGATAACAAAAAATGATTCTAAGCTATTTTCAAAAACAAATTGCGAACTTCCGAACAACGTATATGTGTTATCTGAAAATGCATTTATCAACAACACACAAATTGTCACGATACACCTTCCCCAAACCCTTTTTAGTATAGGCAGCAATTGTTTCTATTGTTGTCCCAACCTCACTTCTCTAATTATTCCGGACCGCGTTTGTCTGATAGGGAATTACTGTTTTATGCGCTGTTCAAAATTGGAGTATTGTGCATTGTCATCTTCACTTAAAGAGCTTTCTCTTAGTCTTTTTGCTTCTTGTGATTCTCTGAAAGAGGTTATCATACCACAGAGTGTCACTTCCATTGGTGAAAATTGCTTCTTAAAATGTACTTCACTGACAAAAGTGTGCTTAACAGATTGTATAAAAGAAATTGGGCAGTACGCATTTGCGTCATGTGAAAAACTTGAGCACATTGTTTTGCCAACCCGTCTCGTTGAGATTAAAGCAGCCACGTTTTATAAATGTCGCGCACTTCGTGAGATAACAATTCCACAAAGTGTGACACGGATGGAGGATATTTGTTTTTCTCTTTGTGTCAATTTGGAGTCGGTTACACTTCCAAGTAACATCGTTTTTGTTGGTCACGAGCAATTTTGGAATTGTGGAAAATTACCTAAAACCGATGAAAAGAAGAAAGAAACGTTATTGGGTAAAATGCGTCATTTATTCCATTGACCGCAAAGTCTAAAATATAATACTCATATAGTTAAAAAGAATAGAAAAGTAACTATCCGTTTAATTCGCCTTTACTTTATGTATGTGAGTGAAAACAATAGAGATCTATTGTTCTATGTCTTTATTTATTCATCATCATAACTATTTATTAATTTGTGTTAATCAAAAATTAATAAACTAAATCAAAAAAGTTAGTTGTAAATTATTGTTTGTAGTTTGGTTTAAGGTTGATGTTCAAGCTTAAGTTCAAAATGTTTGTTAATTATGAAAGGTATTTACAGTTTGTTAAATAAAGTCGGAAACTTTATACAGTCAAACTTTAGAGTTGTATCAAAGTACTATCTTTAAAAAGTACGTTCTCATTAATGAGAATTTTAACTTAACAAACCTTAAAAAAAACTAAAAAGAAGAATCAAATTATAGTCGGGTGATAAAGGGGGTTAATTTGGGACAGAAGTAGTTAATTTGAGTAAAAAACTATAAAATATAATTTCTTTAACCATAAAAGTATTAGAAGGGTTTTTTCAATTAACTACTTTGAAAATAATAAAAGAAAACCATAACTATCTATTTTTGATATTATTCAATCTTTGAAAACAATGGAAGAAGAAGAGAAAGGAACCCTTGATGAAATAACCACAGGCAATCAACATAAAAAAGCAATTTAAATACAAGAAACCAGTTTAAAAACTGTATTTCAATATATATTCATGATGTATATGGTTAAAATGCCAGAGTTTAATGAATTAACAACAGTGTCAATTTTTGAAAGTGTCAGGGAATCACTGAAAAATCATCATTTGTTATTTCAATCTTTCAATCTTTCGTTGTTGAACCATTTCCATTGAGAAAAGATAAGAGAAAGACCATTTTAACATAAAAACAATTGGAGTTGAAAAAGAGCAGAAAAGAAATGAAACAAAGGAAAAAACAAAGGAAAAATTCTTTAACAAAACAAGTTTCAGACAAACCATAAAAAGTGCTGCGTTTTAGACTTCCACATTTTTTAAGTGAACAAATTGAGGTGTTTTTGTTTATTTTTGAAATAGAAATTTATAATTATTCAATTTATAATCATTTAAAATAAAAAACGATAATTTATATTATTATTTTAATTTTATGTTTATTTTGACCTTTAAATAGATTTTTTAAAAATTATAGTTTCAAAATTATATTTATCAAAATTAACTACCTTTGTCCCTTTTTAATGCCATTTATCCCCCGACTATATAGTTTTTTGTATTAATAATTAATAATTAATTATAATTATTTTAAAATAAGAAAAAGACAAGCATTTGTGAAGTTGTTTTTTTTTATTATTTTAATTTGATATTCAAATTATTTTTTTATTTTTTGTTGAAAAATGATATTAAATTTTTATGTTACTGTCAAGATGTTTGGTTGTATATAGATTAAATTTTAATGTATTCATTTGCATAAATTGATGTGATAAAGAAATATTAAATTTTAATTATATTTTATATGTATTGTTGTAAAAATCATTCTTTTTTATTAAAAAGGTTGAAATATTTTTTTGGTATAAATTAAGTTTTTTTGACGTTTTTAAAACAACAATAAAATACACATTTCAAATACACGATAATTTAATTTATATTATTAGTTTTTAACCACAAACAATAATCGCTATAAAAACAACATAATTTATAATATGGTTTGTTTAGTTTTAAATGTCTTTTATCAAATTGAAGAGTGTTCTTAACACCCTAAATAACCAAAATTCAAAATGAATAAAAACGGTAGATCTTGAGTAAATGAAATTTATTTTTATATTTTAAAAATTAATCATGTGCATAACATTACACAAACAACCAAAAATGTCTGTGTATCCATGTTTAAAACACATCGCTTGAGTGATCATATTGAATAGATTTATTTTTAATAATTTTAATTAAAAATATAGTAAAACCTTAAAATGTTTTATTGTGGTATGAAAATAGTTTTGAATGTATCATATCCCGAATTACAGATCATATTTACACGTTTATTATTTTTTATACGTAAAAAGGAATGTTGCTACGATTGGTAGCTTCTATTAAATAATAATAATTATTTGATTTGCATGTTTTTATAAGTAAATCGTGTTTAAAACATTGTTATTTTGGCTTTTTTGAGTTTAGAATATAAAACAACATGAAAATAAACATATCAAAATTAAATAATTAGACGAAAAACAAACAACACTAAACAACATGCTTTTCGTTGGATTTTCGACATAATGAACTATAAAACATTTAAAATTACTCTTGCAAAATTAAATAAAGTCGAGCTAATGTTTAAAGTACACTCTTATACACAATATAATATCAAAAAACACATAAATGTGTACTTTTTATTTATTATTCCATTATTAATACACTTCTTTTTGTAACTTAATAATTCTTTATAAAAAATTTAATATAAATAATTTAAAAACTTTAATCTATTAAAAAAGAACAAATTTACTATGTTAATTATTTCCTACCCAAAAATGTTAAAAAAAATATGGGTCAATTTGTTAAAAGGTACATTCTATTTTTCGACTTTAAAACAACCAACTTATGATTAATATCTACTTGTGTGTAACTGAACTCACAATAAAGAATGACAAGGCTTGATTCTTATAGTCTTATGGTCGTTGCTAAGTACTTTAGAACGTGTGAAGACTTTGAAAATGTCCAATGTGTTTGTCGGAAGTTCAGAGAGACTACTGAAAAGTTCCATTTCAATCCAATTCCTTTGGCAAAGAAAACCAGAGCATTATTTCCTAAACTTGAAACACTTCACTTATACGATGCGTCGTCTGAGAAGTTTGATGATGAGGACTTCTTCTCCAAAATCTTTTGGTATCAGGTTGACTATCAAACGTACAAAATATTTATGAAAGCAAATGACTCAAAACCAGTGAAGACAAAAAATTCCGAACTTTTGTTTATGAACGTAAAATACACAACAAAAGATCAAAAGAAATTTGGCATTGATATTCCACCAGTGGTAACTTTATTAGGAGAAGAATGTTTTAGTTATTGCGACACTTTGACTTCCGTTGTTCTCTCAAATAGTGTGAAGTCTATTGGAAGACAGTGTTTTTTCCATTGTGTGAATTTGTTAAATGCCAAACTACCAGAGAGCGTCAGTTCAATTGGGTTTGGGGCTTTCAGTTACTGTTACAAACTCTCAGAGATAACAATGCCACGTTATATGAAATCAATTGGTAATTATTGTTTTGATGGGTGTAAAGAGTTGAAAAAAATAACAATTCCAAATGGCGTCGAAGTCATCCACAAAAAATGTTTTAACAACTGTAAAAGTCTCAGAGAAATTAATATACCCCAAGGCTTGAAAGAACTTGAAGAAGGAGCTTTTTATGGATGTAAAGAAATTACTAACCTTGGCTTTGTGACGAAAGTAATAAAATTTGGAAAGGGCTGCTTCGGGGAGACTAGTGTTTTTAGTTGGGGAAATCAAATTCCCAATACTGCCTTTGTTCGTATTGAAATATAATCTATTTTTAATGACTATTTCATACAAAGGAAAACAAATAAAAACCACTTTAATAACACACAATGAAAATAATTATTGGAAATAAAGTGTTTGAATAATCAAAAACCACAAAAATTGATATTTAATGTGTTATAATTTTAAAAGTAAATATTGGTGTAAACAAAGGTAGTTTAACAAAACTTTAAATGTTATTTGTTTTTACTATTTAATAGTTCCGTTTAAAAACAACACAATCGATTTTTCAAAAAAAAAACAAATTTTTTTTAATGAAAAAAACAATGTTTTGATTTTTAATATGATTTATTTGTTTAAAATTAGTGATTATATTTTCTTATAAATAAATAATATTGATATTATAGATAATAATACATAATTCATTTTTATTTCAACTTTACTTGTTATAAAAAGTATTATATTAAATAATACAATATTTTATTAAAAAAAATAATTAGAGTTTGGTTTAATTAATCTAAACAAGATAAAATATCCAAAAAATGCACATCAAAAGAAGCTTCTGTCTTGGACTGTTCAAATAAATGAACGTTTTTTTAAATAGAAAAAAGTATGAAGAAAAAGAACAAAACAATGAAGATTATTATAATAAATAAATAATTAAAATATAATATTTAAATGGTAAATAACTTAATGATTTAAATGATATAATATCTTTTGAACCTCTGTCTTTCGTATAGTAAATTATAATTTTTATAACTACAAAAATAACTAAAATAATTAACAATCGATCATTTTTTTTTGAAAAAAAAATAAAAATAAAGGTCGATTTTGTGAATGTTTGTACAAAACACTTCCCGAAAATCAGAT